TCACAATAACAAAAGATGGAAGTATGGAAATGGCAAATAGAAAACTACTGAAAAATAAGGAAATCTCAAGTAACACTGAAATGAAGACCATCAATAATGTACGCAGCAGAAACAATGTCAATGACTAAGAAAGGTGAAGAAGATATAGTCTTAGAAATCAAGAAACGAAGAGCCAGATGGCAGGGACACAAATGGAGAATGAAAAAAGATAATGAAATGAGAATGATGACGAATTGAAAACCAGCAGGGAGCAAAAGAAGAGGAAGACCTAGATCAAGCTGGTTAAAAGAGGTGAAAGAAGACCTGTTGAGTTGGAAAGTTGAGAGAAATAGCAAGAAATATAACAAAACGGAGGAAGATATGTGTATCCAAGACAATCATAGTCAATAGAGGATATAGAAAGCTTTAACAGCAATAAGCCATATCTGAATCTAAATGAATTAAGTGGAATAACATTACTTGAATATACAAATAAATTAAATTGAGTTTGTTGGCTGAATGAATGAAAAGACAAGAAAACTCAAAAAACAATGCGGGGAGTCAAAAAACTCATCGGATATATAATCTTATCATTGTTACAGATCTTTGAGTCAATATTGTAATTGAGCTAACTTTGTTTGATCATATTCACATTCTCTAATAACTCGACAAAATTTCTATTTTGGTGGTGACTTTTCCGGCAAAATTTGTCAAGCCAATTAAACGGTAACATTCTTGATCATCATTATCATCGACACTCACCTTCCAAAACGTTATTCACTTGGTCCTGGAAATTGTCGAACTGGAACGGCGTCAAGAAGCCCAGAGAACCCAAATGGAAAGCCATCACAGGCGGTACGGATTGTTGGAAAAGTTGACTGGCGTATAGCAGGGTTCCGTCACCTCCCAGGCAGATTATAAAGTCTATTTTGTCGGTTAAATCGTCCTTGCCGTCCCGAAAAGTCATCAAGGAGTCTTTGATTTTGGTGAAGGATTTGTACTGGTCTAGGTTTGTGTCATCCATTACGGTGGATTCGACGAAGACCACCATACGTTTTTCCTAAAAAAACAAGGACTATTGAATAGTGCATGAGCATGATAGCGAAGAAGAAAAGGTAAAATATGTTATGCTTATAGCGCTGGAAGTCACAGCATTCTGGAAATGACCTACAACTGTTAACTACGAACTGCCTTATAAGGTACTGCTCCCAAGTAGAGAGAACTGGATCCTCCGGGAGAAGGAAATATTAGGAGCAGACAGTTGTTGGTTCACAGATGGATCAAAAAGACCTTCAGGTTCCGGAGCAGAACCAGCACAGAGATATCAACCTGCCTAGGAACCTCTGCAACTGTATTCCAAGCGGAAATTTATGCTACTGAATTGTGTGCAGAGAGATTGGAAGAATCCAACCTCATACATAAATCAATATAAATATTCTCGGACAGTGAAGCAGCGTTGGAAGCTCTTGGCTCCTACCGAACAACGTCTAAATTGGTAGCAAATTGCCAAAAATGACTCTCCTCGATAGGAAGACTTGACAGATTGTTTCTGGTCTGGATTCTTGGCCGTACTGGCTTGAAAGGCAATGAGGCTGCTGACTCCCTTGCAAAGGAGGGTGCTGCAAGCAGCTTCATCGGACCAGAACCTGCCATTGGCATCGTTTTAGGCTCAGCCAAAAAAAGATTGAACACCTGGATTGCAAGAAGATTTATGGACTTCTGGCACAATCTTCCAGGATTGGCTCACTCCAAGGCGTTTATTCATCCTTCGGATCTTGATACCAAACAGTTTTCGGACTACAGTAGAGATGAACCACGATGTCCAACAGGCCTTCTTACAGGTCACTGTCATTTGAATCATCATATGTAGAGACTCGGACTGTTGGAAGACAGTGTGCGTCGCCTCTGTTTGGAAAATGATGAAACAGCAGAGCACATACTTTGTGCCTGCCCCGCTGGGGACCGAATCAGGTTTTTAGAGTTCGTCAGATTCATACTCTTACCATACAAACTAATCGGCTTCGTTAAGAATCTGGGTTTATTTGGTCGAGTGTGAATAGGTGTGAGCCACAATAAACCCTTGCGAGATGCGGTGGAGGGTCGAATAGACCCTCCTCATTTTGGATCTAACTTAACCTAACCTATAACAGCAAAAATGAATTAGTGAATTGAAGGTTTTTGTTTAATGATAGAGAAGTAGAAAGCCAAGAAGATTTTTTCTAAAAAACTAATCTCTCCCAAAAAAATATACGAGGGTGGTATGAAAAGTTTTCCATCTCAACATGAAGATAGCAGTACTCGTAAATAAAAGCTAGTGCTATCACTGCTATCACTGAATATTTGTTTTTGAAATGCAATACGTCTACGCAAATCGAAGATGAGTTGGATTATGTGTGAGGGGACTCTGCACCATCATTTATCACAGTGAAATTTTGGGCTGCTGAGTTTAAACGTGGTCGTATAAGAGCTTGGGAGACGGTGAACGTACGAGACGTCCAAAAACTGCAACTACCGACGAAAACATCCTCAAAGTTCACCAAATGGTGATAGATAACCGCCGAATTAAAGCGAGCAGAGGTTATGAACATGTCGAAATATCGTGTTTGTCACATATTGAAGCAACATTTAGGCATGAGAAAGCTATCCGCGCGTTGGGTGCCGCGTTTGTTCACGTTAGACCAGAAACGTATTCGAATGAACATTTCCAACGCTCTGTTGGCGCGGTTTAAGCGCAATAAATCCGAGTTTTAACGCCGATTTATTACTGTAGATGAAACTTGGATATAGCATAATACGCCCGAAACAAAAACAAACAGTCCAAAAAGTGGACTATAAAGGGGTAACCGGCTTCAAAACTAGCAAAAACGTTTTTTCGCCTAGGAAGGTGATGGCAACTATTTTTTGGGATAGTCATGTAGTTATTTCAATCGATCTTCCAAAAAGGAAAAACCATTACTTGAGAAGCTGAAGGCAGAACTTGCGGGAAAACGGCCACAACCCTCGTACACCTTTCAATTTATTTGCCTTCTACTTTCTGATAATGAACATGTATTTCATTCATTTCGGATTTTTTCTGGGGTCATTGCGGGAGTTATACTATCTGTATCTGTAGAGTGGAGAGGGTGAGTGTAGGTCTACAGCACTTAGGCCAGGAAGGTTGACAGGTCACTGGGATACATCTCCTTTATATCGGCAGGTGTAGACCAAGACTCGCCGAACACACACTCTCTTATTGACGATAACTACGGACATTCGCATTGGATATGCCTGAAAATTCCATCTTCCTGTTCATACATCCTGCATAGAGGTGTGCCCACTAACCCCATAATATGGAGGTTTTTCCTTAGTTGACAGTAGCCAGTCAGAAATCCTAATGTTAAGCGTAGGTTTTTCCAGGTCATCGCCAGATATTTCTTCGGCGCTAGCTTCCCAGGGTCGCCCAGGATGATCCTGACAAGACCGCATCCTTTGATTCCATCCCATCTCTTTACGGATTGAGCATGGGTGTTAAGTTTGGCTAGTTCCGTAATTATCGAAGTCATCAGGCCGTAGCTGTCACTGGGTCCTAAAATTCTTAGTCCATCCGCTTTCTTGGCTAAATAGTCGGCAATGACATTACCTTTACTCCTGTCGTGCCCTTTAACCCACTCTAGGAAAGAGTTATTGTCTATCAAGGTGAGTTATACTATATGTAGGAACAATATTTTTAGAGGACAATTCAACTGGGTCTTTGAATCTGGATATGCTGCAAAATCGTATCAGGTCTATGATTGATGAAGTAGTTCCGACCCAACGAGTTTTAAACTCAGCAAAGTGGGATAACTTCTTATTATGACAGAACGGCCGTGGAATGCATGAAAATTGTTCGGAACTGTTGGGACACTACGTTTTTATGAATCGAAGAGGTTTTTGTATGAAAGTGTATAATCATAAAATTATAGAAAACACTTTCGACTTTCGTCATCGTCAGTGCTCACTTGTCAGGCAACAGGAAGTATCAAATTAAGTACATTGCACATTTGTAATATTTGACTTATATAAAACAAAATAGGCTTATAGCCAAGAAAATACATTTTTGGATTGAGGCCATGTGGTTCAGTCCAGACTGAACCACTGTGGTTCAGTCCAGATTATAAAGATTATAAATAGAAGAGGACCCAGTACTGTTCCTTGAGGTACGCCATATGTAACAGTCATAAGATCACTGCGAATACCACCTGTGTCAACTTTTTGTTCGCGATCTGATAAATAATTTTCTTTGATTTCATGAATACTTCCTTTTATCACCATAGCATGCTATCGCATAGCATTCTATCGATATACTTGAATTCCGATAAAACCATTTTGACAATTTTCCTGCAAAATTCTCATCTCTCTGTATCTGTAAAATAGGGAGGGTGAGTATAGGCCCATCGCACTGAGGCCACATGTGACCCATTATACATTCTCCTGAAGAGTTGTTCTCCTAGGTNGTCACTTGCCATAGGGTCCCATTTAAAATTTTTGGTCACAGTGGCCTTGTGACGTCATTTATGACTATTGCGTCACCTGTTATGACCAGTTAAGAAGCCTACATCCGTTTATTTCCACCCTCCAAATTTCATTATTATAAGTATACCCGTTCCAAAGATACGAGGGGGGGAGGGGACTTTTGACTAGCACTGTATAAGTCAACAAATATTACAAATGTGCTATGTACTTATTTTAATACTTCCTGTAGCCTGACAAGTGAGCACTGATGATGACAAAAGTCGAAAGCGCTTTGCTATAATTTTATGATTATACACTTTCAAGTATATTCAGCTTTCCAAATCTATAACTACGTTTTTAGATGCTTTCAAGAGTCTGGAAGCAGTGTATTATATGAACCGATGAATAGGAAGACGTACCCCCTTTGAATGGCCTGCTAGATCACCTGATATGACGTTTTGAGCTTTTTGTGGGAATTCATGAAATTGAAAGTAAACGTTATACAATTCAAGTTCACTCTCCAGAAATGAATGTCTCATTATATGAAGGCTGTTTCCGGGTTTTCTGGCCAAGGTGTGCAGGTTTCATGCCTGACGTTTCGTCTACTGCTGCGGTAGACATTTTCAAAAGCGATGTGGTAACGATCGCAATAATCGAGCTGGTGCTCTGGTTCTTGTTCCTGTTGTATCCAACGCATTAACTACTGTTTCCGTACTGGACGGAAATAGTAGTTAGGAGTTAGGAAATAGTAGTAATAGCCTCCCTACAGTTATCTACGGCCGTGAAAGTTTATATTCTTCGATACTCAATTGTAGTTAGGAAGTGAATGGTGAATATTTTGATCATTTATTGGGATGAACAGAAGTGGCTTTTGAATACATTTTTTATTGAAATTATGATAGTCCGGTCATTAAACAATATTGAATTAACGAAAATTGCCACAGAGCTAAATTTTACCATAAAATATAAAAATTTTAAAGTCTCAATCTGTCCCACGAGCGCTTCAAAAGTTATTCGGGGTCAAAGGTCAAAATTTCAGGTTTTTTGAGTTTTTCTTGAAAACCGTAAGTTTTATCAAAAAAATACCTCAGACCAAAGTTGTAGATCTTTAAATTACCTACCCTACCTAAATTACCCTATGATTTTTTCTGTAAGTATCACCGTCCCTGAGATATCGCAATTGTANGGGATTTTCAATAGAAAAAATCGTCATTATTGGTCCAGTGAAAATCCTCACGTCACAAAAGAAGCCGGATTTCAAGAAAAAATTAGTTTTAATGTCTTCTGCATGTTGATGGACAACAAATTGAGGTACGATTCATGTGATGCTGATTAAGAGACAACTGATACATCATTATTTGAACAATTTATGAACATCCGGCAAGAAGAGGAAGAGGAAGAGAAAAAAGACGAAGAAGAAATCGCAGAAGACATGATTGTTGAAGTTAACTATGACGAGTATGAATCAGATTAAAGTTTCAAAAGAAATGAAACTGACAATTACAGTCCATGAACATTATCAACCTGAATAATCTTCATGCAGTTAAATAAGTATTGTGACAAAAAATTACGTAATAACGATTCGTGGAA